CTGGGATCGTCTGGCCCCAAATCGAGGCACCCAACCGGCCGGGCCGCCCGGGACCCCTGCCAGACGAAGGCCAGGCCACCAGACGGTCCAGAGTTTAACACAGAGGTTTACAGCTTTATCCAATGCAAGGTGGACATCGGATCAACTTCCGACTACAAGGATATGTAATAATGGTTATTGAGCACCGGTGTTGAATGCACATTGTGGTATAAGTGCGCAGGTTTGAACCTTAGGTCCTGCACCCCGTGCATTCGGCTGGTGGGCGTCGACCGGCGCAGGCATGTGTGTAGGCAGCGCAAGAGGTCTGATGCTCGAAACCCGGCCGCGTGCAGCGGTTTCAAGAAACAGCTCCAAACTGTGGGATTCACCCATTGTGCGCTGCCCCCCTGCGCGTGCCACATCACATTGCTCCATGTGGGTTGTCAGAGAGCATCGCTTGCACCCCCTCTTGGTTGTGCAGTGTCATGGGTGGTGGGGCGGGGGGAGGGGGGAGGGAATGGACTCAGTTGGGAATAGCGGTGCTATTCCCCTGGCAGGCCAACGACACCCCCCTCCGTGACAGACGACGGAGTGCTTGATCGCCTCCCGGCAGGTCACCTTTCGGGGGGGCGGAACCCAAACCGGGGTATAGCGCACACAGCTGCCGGCGATAGAGAAGCACCAGTCTCGCTCGATACCTGCCCGGGTGTGTGTGTGTGGTCGAGGTTGAGCGTTCTGTCGTTGACTGTCCCTTGTCTGAGGGTGGGTCCACTGTACCGACATGGAGGGCTGAACACGTGTCCAGGCCCAAGCCGGATATCTGCGCCAGCAATTGATAATGACACACAACGACTACTCGGCGTGCCATAAGAGCCAATGGGGCAAGCATCTACTCCTTATGGAATCCTAGGTGTCAAAGTGTGGGTCTCGTATTCATCAAATCAACCAAAACACATAACACTTTATCCAAAACGAATTGAATTTTGTAAATATAAGAAAGGAATATGCAAAAGGCTCCCACACGGCAGCCATTCACGTGTTTACAAATCAGCGGGAAATACGGATCGCGCCCCACTGTAAAGCCTGTACGTCAACAAATAACATTGTATAGAACAAAAAATATTTGAAAATATAAAATTCCATGCTACGTAACGGGCAGGGAAAAAAAAAGAAAAAAGAAAAAAAAAGAAGAAGACAATTACTACTTGCCCACCCATACAAAGTCATTCTACAGACCTCTTCCTTCTTGCCTGTAATTAAAATCTTCAATCAATCTCTGAGATAGATCTCATAGATCTCAATGTGCAAAAGATGTGCAAGGGTCTTTTCTTGACAACTGGAGGATGAATTGACTTTTTAATAAATTTTTGCAAGTAAAATTCAGTAAAAGTTAGAAATGACAACAAGGACGAAGGCAGAAGACGTGCAACAGTTCTCTTGACGAAGCAAAAGATAGACATGGGGAATCATGTCTCGAATTGTCGTTCATGGATGGCCAGGAAGGCTACCTTTTTCAACATCTTCTTCGGAAAGGGGCCTTTAAGCTCCATGTGAAGTCGTAACATGTCATTGTTTGTGTTTCCTGGAAACAGCATCTTCCCTGTGTACAGCTCGTAGAGGCAGCACCCCACAGACCACATGTCTAGGGCATGATCGTAAGGTAGACCAAGAACTGCAAGAATATATAACATCAAATCCAGGCACGCATCAACCATCACACTTTCCCTACCCAAATTGCCCTCATTCAAAAACAATCCGTGCTTAGACATAAACATGCAAAAGCACACACACACACACACACA